CAATGTATGAGTGTGGCTTTTCCTCCACATCCTTGACAACACTTATTGTTGTTTGTATTTTTTTAAACTTTATTTTATTTATTTATTTTTTAATGTGGTGCTGAGGATCAAACCCACTGCCTCACACTTGCTAGGCAAGCTCTCTACCACTGAGCCACAACTCCAGCCCCTTGTTGTTTGTGTTCTTAATAGCTGCCATTCTGACTGGAGTGAGGTGAAATCTTAGAGTAGTTTTGATTTGAATTTCTCTAATTGCTAGAGATGTTGAACATTTTTTATATATTTGTTGATTGATTGTATATCATCTTCTGTGAAATGTCCATTCAGTTCCTTTGTCCACTTATTGATTGGGTCATTTTTTTTTGGAGTTCTTTATATATCTGAGAGATTAGTACTTTATGTGATGTGTATGTGGTAAAAATTTTCTCCCCAAATGTAGGCTCTTTATTCACCTCACTGATTGTTTCTTTTGTTGAGGAGAAGCTTTCCATTTGAATCCATTCCATTTATTGATTCTTGATTTTATTTCTTGCCCTATTGGTATCTTGTTAAGGAAGTTGTGGCCTAATATGACATGATGAAGATTTGGACCTACTTTTTCTTCTATTAGGTGCAGGGTCTCTGGTCTAACTCCTAGGTCCTTGATCCACTTTGAATTCAGTTTTGTGCATGGTGAGAGACAGGGGCTTAATTTAATTTTGTTGCATATGGATTTCCAGTTTTCCCAGCACCATTTGTTGAAGAGGCTATATTTTCTCCAATGTATGTTTTTGATGCCTTTTTCTAATACAAGATAACTGTAATTATGTGAGTTAGAGTCTGAGTCCTCTATTCTGTACCATTGGACTACAAGTCTATTTTGGTGCCAACTCCATGCTGTTTTTGTTACTATTGCTCTGTAGTATAGTTTAAGGTCTGGTATAGTGATGCTACCTACTTCACTCTTCTTGATAAGGATTGCTTTGGCTATTCTGGGTCTCTTATTTTTCCAAATGAGTTTCATGATTGCCTTTTCTATTTCTTTTTTTAAAATATTTTTTAGTTCTTGATGGACCTTTATTTTATTTATTTATATGTGGTGCTGAGAATCGAATCCAGTGCCTCACACATACTAGGCAAGTACTCTACCACTGAGCCAAGACCCCAGCTCTGCCTTTTCTATTTCTGTGAGGAATGTTATTGGTATTTTGATTAGAATTGCATTAAATATGTGTAGTGTTTTGATAATATGGTCATTTTGACAATACTAATTCTGCTTATCTAAAAACATTAAAGATCTTTCCATCTTCTAAGGTCTTCTTCAATTTATTTCTTTAGTATTCTGTAGTTTTTGTTATAGAGGTCTTTCACCTCTCTCTTTCAGTTGATTCCCAAGTATTTTTTGAGGCTATTGTAAATGGGGTAGTTTTTCTTGTTTCCCTTTTAGAGGATTTGTCACTGATGAACAGAAATGCCTTTGATTTATGGTTGTTGATTTTACATCCTGCTACTTTCCTGAATTTAGAAATTTTCTGATGGATGTTTTTTGGGTCTTCTGGGTATAGAATCACATCATTAGCAAATAGTGGTAATTTGAGTTCTTCTTTTCCTATCTATATCCCTTTAATTTTTTTCATCTGTCTAATTGCTCTGGCCAGTGTTTCAAGAAGTATGTTAAATAGAAGTGGTGAAAGAGGGCATCCCTGCCTTGCTCCAGTTTTTAGAGGAAATGCTTTCAATTTTTCTTCATTTAGAATCATGTTGGCCTGTGGATTAGCATAGATAGCTTTTACAATGTTGAGATATGTTCCTGTTATCCCTATATTTTCTGGTGTTTTGAATATGAAGGAGTGCTATATTTTGTCAAATGCTTTTTCTGCATCTATTGAGATGATCATATGTTTCTTATCTTTAAGCCTATTGATGTGATGAATTACATTTATTGATTTCTGTATGTTTAACCAACCTTGCATCCGTAGGATGAACCCCACTTGATCGTGGTGCACTATATTTTTAATGTTTCTCTATTCAATTTTCCAGAATTTTATTGAGAATTTTTACATCTATGTTCATTAGAGATCAGTCTGATGTTTTCTTTTGTTTTTGATTTGTCTTTGTCTGGTTTTGAACTCAGGGTGATATTAGCCTTATAGAATGAGTTTGGAAGTGTTTCCTCTTTTCCTATTTCATGGAATAATTTGAGAAGTATTGGTATTAGTTCTTCTTTGAAGGTCTTTTAGAACTTGGCTGTGTATTCATCTGTTCCTGAGCTTTTCTTGCTTTGTAGGCTTCTGATGGCTTCTTCTCTTTCAGTGCTTGAGATTGATCTGTTTAACTTGTGTATATCACCCTGATTCAGTTTGGGCAAATCATATGACTCTAGAAACTCGTCGAGGCCTTTGACATTTTCTATCTTCTTGGGGTGTGAATTTTCAAAATAATTTCTAATTATCTTCTGTATTTCTGAATTATCTGTCATGATATTCCCTTTTTTAAAAATCATGGATGTTAGTAATTTGAGTTTTCTCTCTTCTTTTTGTTAGCATGGCTAAGGTTTTATCAATTTCATTTATTTTTTCAAATAACCAACTTTTGGTATTGTCAGCTTTTTAAATTGTTTCTTTTGTTTGATTTTCATTGATTTCAACTCTAATTTTAATTATTTCCTGTCTTTTACTGCTTTTGGTGTTGATTGGTTCTTCTTTTTTAGGACTTTGAGATGTAATATTAGGTCATTTATTTGTTGACTTTTTCTTCTTTTAAGGAATGTACTCCCTGAAATGAACTTTTGTCTTAGTACTGACTTCATATTGTCTCAGAGATTTTGATATGTTGTATCAATGTTCTCAATTAGCTATAAGAATTTTTCAGTCTCTTCCTTGATGTCTTTTGCAACCCATTTTTCATTCAGTCGCATATTACTTAGTCTCCAGGTGTTGGAGTAGTTTTTGTTTTTTTTATTTCATCATTCATTTCCTATTTCATTTCATTATAATCTGATAGAAGATAGGGTAGTTTCTCTACTTTTTTGTGTTTTCTAAGAGCTGCTTTGTGGCATTATATATGGTCTATTTTAGAGAAGAATCCATGTACTGCTGATAAGTAAGTGTATTTGCTCATTGAAGGATGAAATATTCTACATACGTCACTTAAGTCTAAGTTATTAATTGTATTAATGAGTTATATAGTTTCTTTGTTTAGCTTTTGTTTGGAAGATCTATCCAGTGGTGAAAGAGGTGTGTTAAAGTCACCCAGAATTATTGTGTTGTGGTCTATTTGACTCTTGAGAAGAGTTTGTTTGATCAATGTAGATGCTGCATTGTTTGATGCATATATGTTTATTTGTTATGTCTTGTTGATGAATGGTTCCCTTAAGCAGTATGTATTATACTTCTTCATTCCTTTTGATTAACTTTGGCTTGAAGTCTACTTATTTGATTTGAGGATGGAGACCCCTGCTTGTTTGTGCAGTCCATGTGACTGGTATGTTTTTTCCCAACTTTTCACCACAGTCTGTGCATGTCTTTTCCTATGAGATGATCTCTTGAAGGCAGCACATTATTGGGTCTTTTTAAAAAATCCAATATGGCAGTCTATGTCTTTTGATTGGTGAGTTTAGGTCATTAATAAACTGGGTTATTATTGAGTCTTCATTTGTGTTCCCAGACATTTTTGTTTATTTTTGCTATTTAACTTGACTTGATTTCTCCTTTGATTGGGTTTTCCTTTAGTGTAATAACTCCCTCTGCTGATTTTCATTGTTGTTTTTCATTTTCTCATAATGGAATGTTTTCCAAGCATGTTTTGTAGTATAGACTTTTGAGTTGTAAATTCTTTCAACTTTTGTTTATCATGGAAGGTTTTTAATTCATCATCAAATCTAAAGCTTAATTTTTCTGCATATAAGATTCTTAGTTGGCATCCATTTTCTTTCATGGTATATGTTTTCCAGGATCTTCTAGCTTTCAGGATCTGGGTTGAAAAATCTGCATATCCAAATTGTTCTCCCCCTATATATAATGTGATTCCTTTCTGTTCTTGCTTTTAAAATTCTCTCCTATTCTGTATGCTAGGCATTTTCATTATAATGCACTTTGGCCTGGATCTGTTGTAATTTTGTACATTTGGTGCCCTGTAAGCCTCTTGTATTTGATTTTCCAATTCATTCTTTATGTTTGAAAGTTTTTCTGATATTATTTCATTGAATAGATTGTACATTACTTTGGTTTGAAAGTCTATGCTTTTCTCCAACCTAATAATTCTTAAATTTGTTTTTTTATATTTTCCAAAACTTCTTTTTTAAATTTACATTCTAATACTAACTTTAATCTCAAAATCACATATCCATATGCCTATATTTTTTGTTGACTTCACTAAACTTTAATGCATGGCTTATTAAACAAAGACTGTAAAAAAAAAATTTACTATGTTACATGTAACACACAGGAACAGCTTTTAACAGACATTCATCAACCCCCCAACATTTTTTATTATAAAAACAGGTATCAAAACAATTCTGAACATATTTTTGATACTACTAGTAGTCAGCACCCACACTGCTTCCAAATATACCACAATTTGTGACAATATTCATTGTACCTGTTACTTTAAAAATTTCAACTGCAGGTCTTTCACTAAGTGAGATGGATAAAGCCTGCCATTTCTGTTTGTCTTTCTTAAGATTTTACTTTTCAGAAACACTCAAGTTTTCACTGCCATCTGCCACTGCTTGTCATGCTTTCCTGTTATAAACCTGAATTCTATTTCGAGTACTCCAGGTTCATGTTTAATTGACAGTGCTTTAACGAAAGAAAGAAAAATTGTGTTGCATTTTTCCTCTTGTTACCTGAAAAAATAATGGATGTATATATATTAAATATATTCTTACAAATGTCCGGATCATGTTTACCAGCTAGAATTCTTCTACTTAATGTGTGGGTATTCTGTATTGTGATATTTAATCAAGTCATTAATATGAGTAGAAGGTTGTTGATTTAAGACAAGTTTTAGATTCACTAAAATTAATTGTTATACATTTGTCCTTCTGGTGGCTGTGGAAGCTTCATATTTTCATTGGACATTATTAGATGTCTTAGCTATTGAAATACAACTTTAATGCTATATGATTTTGCCATTTTGCTAACACTGGTATGCTCTGTGCATCCAACATTCCACTGGAATTATTTATTCCATTCTTATTAACTTTTGTTACAAATCTAACTGATGGAGGAGCTTCTGGGGATTTAGGTCCACATTCTACTTTCAGGCTACATATTCTGTTTTCATAATTTGTCCTTGGTGGCCCAAGAATCATGCCTGTCGTATCTTCATCACCTCCAAGTCCCCAGCTAACCATGCCATAATGTACTCCTTTTTGTCCTTTTCCAAGTTCTTCCAACAAGAGCGAATTATGGGAAACTTTAACTCCTGTGGAGAGTGCCATCTTATCCTACAGTCTGAAGCAGCCACCCACACATATAAGACATGGTTCTTCCAATCCCATAATTCTTTAATATTCTGCTCATGTTTTTTTTTAAAAATACCATCTTCACTGTGTGTTCAACATTCTTTTTAAGATTATAGATTTTATCTTCATTGTCTGAGTTTCTGTCTTCCAAGTGATCTAATATGTTGGTGATGCTTTTTTTTTTTTCATTTGTTTTATTGCTTCCTTCAGTTTAAGGATTTCTGTTTGGTTTTTCTTTTTTTCAGAACCTCTATCTCCTTATTGAAGTAAACTTTTGCTTCCCGTATTTGCTTAAGTAGCTCTTTATTGAAATGATCTTTTGCTGCCTGTATTTGCTCTCTTATATCATCCTTTATTTCACAGAACATTTTAATTATATACATCCTGAACCCTTCTCTGTCATTTATTCTGCTGTGCTGGCCATGGATTCTAATAATGTAGTATCTTGGTTTGTTTCAGGCACTTTTTACTCTTGTTTTTTCATGTTGTTCGTGTGTCTTCTCTTCTAGTATTGCAGATCTGAGGTGTTACAGTTTTTACCCTATAGGTTTATATTGTCCCTGCAGGGTTCCATTACCTCTCCTTGATATTGCTTCTAGTCCCCTTGTGGCATCTCAAGCTTGGAGTTGCCCCAACTAAAGATGACAACAAAGGTGTCCCAAGATGGAGGGGGCTTCTTTCAGAGATGAGGTGTTGGGTCGGGCTGGGTGGCAGCATTGGGTGATGGGTTCAGAGATGCACCTCTGTTGCATGCAATGTTGTGGCTAGTGGCTGTCTCCAGAACCTGTCCTGTGTCCCCAGGTGCAGGCTACCACATGTATGGGACTATGGCAGTAGTTGCAGTGTCCCAAGATGGAGGCTACTGGGGAAGCCCCACATTGGAAAATGGGAGTCCACACAGGAGTGGTGACCAGAGGTCCTATGTATTTGCAGATGCCGGGTTCCCTGTGTGGGAGTGGTGGCCAAGATTCCTGTTCATGTGGGTGGCCAGGGGTCCTGCACAGTGCTGATGCCTATAGTCCTGCTTGGGCATGGTGGCCAGAGGTCCTGTGTGGGTGAGTGGCTCGGAGTCCTGTGTTGATGTTGAGGCCTGGAGACCTGTGTGGCATGACGGCTGGGATTCCTGTGCAGGAGCAGCTGTCTGGGGTCCTCTAATAACTTGCAGAGAAAGAGTATTTCCACTACTAGAATCTCAGGTCATGGAGTGACACAGAATACAGCTTCCCTCTAGCCCACCATCTTGAATCTTGTTATTCTTCATTCTTCAAAGGCATATGTAATTTCATTTCAACTCTGCTTGAGTTCCTCATTGCTGCCATAAAAATAATTGTTGAGAAATTGTGAATTCTGAAATTCATATGTTGTAGCTTAATTCCTTTGTGATAGTACTAAAAGATGCGACCTTTGGGAGGTTTTTATGCTTTGAATGTGAGGTGTCCTCCAAAAGCTCATGTATGAGACAATGCAAGAAGGTTTAGAAAAGAACTGATTGAATTATAGCCTTAACCTAATCAGTGGATCAATCCCTGATGGGATTAACTGAGTAGATGGAGGCAGGTGGGGTGTGGCTGGAGGAAATGGTTCATTGGGGGCGTGGCTATAGGTCTGTATTTTGTATCTGGAGAGTGGAATCTCTCTCTTTCTGCTTTTTGATCATCATGTGAACTGCTTCCATCTGCCACACTCTTCTGCCATGATGTTCTGCCTCACCTCAAGACCCAAGGAATGGAGCCAGTAGTTATGGACTCAGACCTCTGAAACTGTGGGCCCTCTAATAACCTCTTTCTCCCCTAAAAGTGTTCTGGTCAGAGCTTTTAATCACAGCAGCAAAAGAGCTGACTAAAACAAAGATGATGAAATCATGTAGACAGAGTCTTATGACTAGGATTAGTGACCTTGAGAAGGGCTTGAGGGAGCTTGCTTGTACCTTTTACAATCTGAAGGGTTAGGCATTTGTCCCTTTTACCAAGTGAAGATGTAGTTACAAGGAGTCTTTGAAAACAGAGACTGGGTTCTTCCTTACCAGATACCAAATCTGTTGGCACTTTGATCTTGGATCTTCTGACTTCCAGAACAATGAACAAAAATTTTCTCGTTTATAAGTTACCCAGTTTAAGTGTTTGATTTTTAAAATTTTTTTGTGTGTGTTTTGTTTCTTATTTTAGTAGCCCAAATGAACTGAACCAGAATTCATACAAAGAATCTTTTGTAATACTCTGCTTTTTCTGAAGTTTATTTCTGTATTTTCACAATGTTAGGTTTAACCTATAAGCTTTTAGATGACATGGGCTTCCTTTATGTTAGATATTATTGGCCTGTGATAAGGAGGGGAGCAGAAGACTGACAGACAGCAAACCTGACCTTTTAAAGTTTGATTCAGAAGACAAATTGATCAAAATATTTGCCATTGATTCTTTTATTTTCCTTGATTTGAAATTTAAATTTTTTCCAGTGTCTTTTTTTTCCAGAAACTTAAGAAATTACATATTTATTAAACTAGAAAAGTGATTGGATTGCCTCTAATAAAGTCAAGCCTTTGACAAACCACATTCCTTCTCTCTTTACAACAAGGTAACCCTTTAAAGGAGTGTATAGGAGGTAGGGATGGCCAGTTCTCTTGAGCACAATGTGGTTCCTGTCTTAAGTTGGGATAAGAAGTAGAGGATGGAAAATAGTCCTCACAGAATACTTTAGGAAAAGTTCTCTGCAAAACCACTTCATAGCTGCCGCCATACATAATGCTGAGATACTTCTATTTTCCTGCATGCCATAAAACCAGAATTTTCAGAGCAAATCTGTTTTTGAATAGTTTGGTCCTTTTTTCTTAAATGTGGTCCATTAAGGGTTAGTAAAATCATCTGTCGTTTGCATCTTTACCTATTTTAAATACAAATGAATTCAGAAGTTGGGATAACATATATGGGTATTCCTACTTTTCCTTTAGAAAGAAAAAGGATAATGTTTTTCACAATGAAGCATGAAGACTATTGAGTTTATTATTTTTGCTCTTTTTTTCCTTCCCTTCATTTCTTTCCCTTCACTTTCTCCCTCCTTCCCTCCTTCCTATTTTATTTTTTCTTCGTTCTTTTGTTTTATCCATCAAAAGCTATTTGTTTATATATATAATATATATGCCAGGTACTTACAAAGTGTAGATATTATTATTTTTCTAATTGATTTTTGTTGCATAATAAGGGGAAATGAGGGGGGGATTAAAAAACAGAGGTGATGTAGAAGAAAGTAGGAATAAATTCAGTCAAGAAACCGGATGAAATTACTTCTCTCCATGCCTTCCCTAAGGAATGGGATTTGAACTCTTTGTATGTCCAAAGCACACTTCCATCTATATAAATATCTTTTTTAGTGTTCTTTGGGAAGACTTTGAGTCACAGTTAATTGTGAAGTCTCATCTAGTATTTACTGAGTGAAAATCCATATTGTGTAGCTTGCTCTGTCAATATCTGTTACAGTTCTAAATGGAATTCCTGTGCTTTAAATTTTCTTTTCATAGAACATCCATTTCTAATTGCAAGAATAAATGGCATTTCTCAGCCACCAGAGTTTGGTTGCATGGATTTTTCCTGTGAAGCCTCCCCAGTGAATTCTGACAAGGCATTGTAGGTGAGATATTAAATAACTAAGTGACTTGGTAGCATCACATTTCCCCAGAATATTGTCAAACAGGGAATGAAAGCTCTGGGAATCTGTTTGTAGTTGACTTAAATATGTTGGGCAGAAAAGAAAGTCAGTGGGCCTCTGATTTCTGGTTCTTATCTGCCACTTTTCCTCAAAAGGATAATGCTCCTTTTACGTGACAGCCTCTCTGTTTCTTTCTTTTTTTTTATTTTTACTTTTAAATGCTTGAACAGAAGTGTGGCTTGAGTTCTGCACAATGTCTCGCTGCCCCAACTCTGCTCAAGTTCCTTTGCCACTGCTCCTTATTTAGTGCTGTGCTGATGGCTTTTCCACTCATTCCACATGACTCACGGGTGAGCTAGAGCCCTGTGCATTCCATGGGGGCATTAGCTTTTGTTTGACCCATTCTATGCAGGTTATATACGATGGTTTATATGTTCCTTGTGCTTTGAATTTGAGCCTTATTTTTCCTTCCCTGCAAATCAGCACATGCCCGTGCTACTGCACTGAGGAAACTGGTGCGCTGTTCTCAGTGTAACTAATCCAGTAATTGTCCTCTTACTGTGTTTGGGCTGCTATAACAAAATGTCATAGATTGAATGCCTTATAAACAATAGAAATTGGAAATTCAAGATCCAGGTGGTGGCAGATTTAGTGTCTGGTGAGGCCCACTTTCTGATTCACAGAGAGCTATCTTTTCACCTTAACCTCATAATGTAGAAGTGGCAAGGAAGCTCTCTGCTTCCTCTTCTCTAAGAGTACCTTAATTGGTATCAAGAGTAGCAACGAGGCGGTCATCCTCATGACCTGATCACCTCCTAAAGCCCTTGCTTCCTAATACCATCATATTGGGGGTTAGGTTTCAATATAGGAATTTTGAAGGGACACAATTGTTCAGACCACAGCAGTTGGGTTAGGAGGGGAAGAAGAGTGAGAGAGAGAGAGAAATAGAAACAAATGAAATAGACTGAGGTTGGTACCTCTCTTAAAATGAGAGCATCTTCTTCATGCTCAGAGTAAAGGGTCACCCTGACCCTTTACTGTCACCTGACAGGCAGATGCCAAGGAAATGGAGAATGGAGGCTTCCTCTCCCCAGGCCTATCTAGCCAGGCTCACTAAACCTGCATATGCATGTTCCTGCCTTTTGTCTCAATTTGCTGCCTCATTTCTTTTAAAAGCTTTTCTCATCCCCAGAGCCTCAAAGATAGAATTTTTGAAACAAAGAGTTTATTCTATTTTCCTCCAAAGCTGACTTTGAATTAAAACTATTTTCCTACCAAATTGACTTCAAATATTTGTGGAGCTGCGAGCAGTGTAGGCTAGGGTCTTTAGTTGGCTG